GGTAAATGCGAGCCAATTAGAAGATTAAGCGTTGACAATTACGGTGTCGGATCGCGATCGTATATCAACAATTATCGCGCGAGTGCGACAAATGGCGAGCTGGCCCAGTGCACGTGTAAGCGCGGTGTGCGCCCAGCGTTATCTGAACACCGAAGATATTTTAAAGCAATGGATACGCCTACATGCACATCAATACCTTTTTGGAAAATTATTTGAGAATTCCACGAGTAAAGCTGATATTTTATTATAACGATGACTTGTGTTACGATATACCTACAAAGTACTTTTAGGGCCTTTCCACTTTTCAATGTCTTAATATGGCGTGGCATTAAACTTCGTGTATGGAGACTTGCAAAATATACGACTAAAAGTGTTGAAAAGAGGAATAAGCTAATAACCATAGGCTAAGGCTACTTATATTATGCTACAGTAAAAGATATACTTAGTAGATATTTCGCTTTGCAGTAATTCTGCCGAATTAGGCAGTGTTTGATTATAAAACTTCCAATAACTGCATATTCAGTATAAAAGAGAAGAAGAAAATAGATTTTTTAGAGTTAATCTTTTTAATAAAGTGACGCATCCAAAAATGTTTGCTTTGCAAGTTGCACTTTTAACAAACAGGATGGTACATACGCACGGAGCTGCAATATTGTTCGATAAATCGCTAGAGCCTAGTTGTGGGAATTCGTAGCACCATGGGCCATTACTGGTAAAAATGTCCTGTCGTGTGACATCGATCTATTACAGTACGGTATTTGACAACTAGTCAAATTCAACACTATTTACGAACTGTCAAAAAGGTCAGTTTTAAGAATTTTGTACGAGATTGTGAATTGTGACGTCACGTTTTTTCGCGTCAAACAGCGTCAAGTACGCTGTCCTTTCCTAAAAAATTGCTGGAAAAATACTAAAATTAGGTTGGTCATAAAATTAATTACTGACAGTGTAATTATTTTTTTATATTGAGGTACATTGAACAATCGAAATAATTTATTTTTGGTTAAGGAAAGTACCCAATTGCAAAAAAATACACAGCAGATTTACAGTTCCTCCAGTTGAAACAACATTAAATAATTCATTTATAATCGTAACTAAATTACGAATGTATATTTCATAAAAAATATTCGAACTTCTGTAACCTTAAATTATTGCAGCCATAATTTCTAATTTTCTCACTAAATTACTTATTGTTATAGCAAATGTGAACACAAAAAGATAAAACAATTTCGAGAAACATGTGATTTACATACTACGACCTGACTTCAAATATTTACACATCTGATTATAAAGAAAAGAAAAAAAAGACAATATAAAAAAAGAATTTATGTGGCACCCATTATAAAGGGGGATGTCAAAATATTTCACTACATAACACAGCTTCTATGAAACCACAAAGAGTCGACGAGTAATTTATAAACAACAAGAATCTTAATTTAGATGTTGTATGATGTTCTGTTAAGTTAAATTGTTTTGTATATGTATGTATATAAGATAAAAGTATTTGTATATCATATGTGGAAGATTTACGATGGTTAGATGCTGGTGAGAAGTAAATCAAAGAGTGTGTTGGTTGCCAACTGTGTGCTCCAACGATTAGAGTTTTGGCACCGAGACCCGGCGAAAACATCTTCAGCGAGCGGCATGATATCGACGACGGATCCTATTGTACATTAGTAAAACATGTTAATTTAAGTCTGTTCGCACTATTCTACTCAATATACGTGTATTTATGAAGCTCTGTGCATTTAAAATTGAGTCAGTTTCTCTTAAAGAACGCCGAAAAGCTCACTGTTCAATTTTATGTTTCTGATAGAGCCTCAAGGTCTTTAAAGGTCCAGTATCTACAAAAACGCTTTATTAGGTACACGTTGTTATTTGACTGTTAACATATTATATCGACAATGAATCTGTACAAAATAACTTATTGAAATGTTTGTTAGAAAAATTGTGTAATACCTTGTATAATACGTGACTTGAGCTTGTGTTACCTACTGTTGTAATTTTTCTATTGTAACTAAAATGTAAGTAATGTCAACTAATAAAGGAATTATCGTAAAATGTACATTATACATTGCTACAATCAATTTAATCAATAAACAAATCACAAGGAAAACCCACACCGGTCACAGCACAAAAAATTATACACGAAACCTCATAATTAATGACTTCTATTAATTCTGTGGCAGAAGTTGTCATTTCCGATATTATCAGTGTATCAATAAATTGTTCCTAATTTGTTGAACACAATAAACAAAGGCATCAGATGGACTCTCCGCTTATGAAAGCTTTTGCACACAAAGCCGCGTAATCGACAAACATCAAAATATTTGCCGAGCGGATGAAAAATGGGTCCCCGTTGAATAAACTAAAAGAGTGGCACACAACGCGGCAGGTTTTAAAACGGAGCTTACAGTAAACGCGATTAGCATGCCAACTAGCGACGGACACACCGACATATTTACATTATTCTATTACTCGCCGCGATTATCTTTTGGGGTGAGATAATGTGTGGGGATTTCATTTTGCTACAGTCCTCCCTTTTGTGCTTTTATGGGGCATGATATTAAATCAGTAATAGGGATTTCATTGAGAGCATTACTATCTTATTACAATAACAGATATTTTTGCAAATGTTGCTGAAGTTTTCGTGTTTTCAGCTGATACTGCGTACAGAATGTCGGTGCACCTGACTTGGTGTCACCCGCTCGACATATTGTGCGTCAATTCGGCCGATCTCTGCGGGGCAATTCAATTACAGTGAAAGATCCCTCATAAGCGAATCGTTTTTCCAAGTCATTAATTTTTTCGAACGACACGGGGCTCCGCGTGATACGGCGGGGTGGGTCCAGGCGCGCGGCTATCTCGCGAGATAATGCTGATTTATGCGGGCGGCCGACGGTCGCGATTCGTCGCGCATCGTCGCCGCGACATGCGAATGTCGCGCGATCGCATCGTCGCTCGCGTCAGTTTGTTTAGCCGCTACCCGCGTTCCGCGCCCGTCGTTCATTTGTGACGGTTAGTTGGCGAGATTTATGCTAATCGACGGGGCCGACTCGGATAAGCTCGCGTGACGGTGTGTGGCAAATTGTCTCCCATTGCGACTTCCCAAAGCCCTTTGTAACGCTTGCTATCGCGCTCCATCTTTATAGCCGATACCGGCCGTATCAAAAGCATCGATAATGTGGAAAAAGAGATAACGCGAGGTAATTACGAAGATCTATCGCATCTAAACCTCCTCATAAAAACGAAACATGGCTACAATCTTTTTTGCGAACGGTTATTATAACAAATCAACACTGTTATTATTGTGTTCTGTGTTGCTAAATTCGGAAATGAATGCGACTCGAATATATTTCCAGATGTCGTATTTTATGGTGCGTGGTAGAAAAACTGGACGCCCGAAGCGTCGTTAACTCGAGAACATTATAAGGAATAAATAAGTGAGGTATTAATACAGCTTTATAGTCCGTGAAAGAGCCTTCATTGTTTTGTACATTATACCCGGCCTTTGTTCACATTTATTTGTATGGAGACGACGTATTTAGCATTAAATAAATTTCGATGCAGAGCTGTGAAATGGGTTAGATTCCCTAATTAGGCTCAGATATCGAACGGCTGGGTATTGTGTGCGTGTAACTTCAAGTATAATTATATGAAACTAACCTAGCTATAAAGTAAGTGGTGTAGAGAGCTCAGCGGACAGTAAATACGGTGGAGTGTTTATAGGCGGCGAGTATCGTGCGGTTTGTCTGAGTAAGCTATACCGTTATCAAAAGATTAGGTTTGCGAATTTGTCACGATCGGTGGGCTGTCGCGTTGATTTACGCGGGCGTCGATAAGCGTCGCCGGAGCGCGCCGCTCCGCCGCGCGGCCGCTACCGTCCTAGTGTTTCCTCGATAACACTTACTCACAAATCATTTTCACCTGTACGGACATCAAATTTAGCCAAGCAGGTTACTGCTTTATACATTTAGTTGATTGTAATCTGACTTTTATGTGACACCAGTCCTTGCACTTCAAATTCAATTTATTGGGTTTCTAACAACTTTGACATCCATCACCGTCATGCAAATTTTGCTTTCTGGTAAAGCATACAAAGCCAAATCACCAATCAAACAGATTAGATTCAATAATTCAAAAGAGCTTTTCACATACTCAACAAAAAGTAAATTTTATACTGCAATCTTAGGATTTCTGTAGTAACAGCTTTGAAATTTGTTTCGAGAGATCTCACTAGTGGATTTCAGGTTTTAATGAGGAGGAAATTCCGTCGTGTCGTATATCGAGCAGATTATTTGGATGGCAATAATATTATGTTCGATTGATGTGATCGTTACAATTTTGATTGTAGCGTTCATTGTTGGTTGCGCGAGTGGCAGCAGGCGTGCGGAGCGGCGCGGGCAGGTTGCGGCGCGGTGGCGGTCGATTGCCCATTGTTCGACACCGCGCCGCGACCGACACGCCTCGCGCCGTCGCCTTCACTGTGCCACCTACCTTATCGCCTCTGAAACGCGCCGTCGATATTGCCTTGATCTCGTTAACCAACAATCGCGATTCGATTACCTACCTACCACAGAGTTTTTAATTTCTCGTCAAGTTCAGCACGAGAGGCCTAAAAACAATTCGTTTCGTCATTTAAGTAGTTAATAACGCGTGCTTTATGTCACTACTGCATGTTATGAATGCGGCTCTCGGTTCAATTAATGAAATATTAATTGTGATAAAACGACTCTTGTTGTCGGCCGTCCGTTTTAACGCAGATAATTATAATTCAATTAATTGTAATTTAAGAGATTTTCATGATTGATAAATCACAACGTGCCGGAAATCGTGTCTATAAAAATGGTCACGTACAAAAGAAGACCGACGCCTAATTAATTTAGAGGTATATGTTCGCCACAGCCGATAGAGTAGGCGTTGATAGATTGGCACTACGAAATACTTCCCCATGGTTTTAAAATCAATATATTGCATCAAATTAAAAAGTAGACACTTACCTTCCAGTCTTAGTGATGATCATTTCTGTCCCTAATTCGTTAAACTTGTCCCATAGTTCTTTAGTTTCGAGGTGGCACTGTATGTGTCGCATCTCCTCGCTGGACCATCGCTCCACGAGCTGTGGGTTCCTGGGAGGTGGTGATAGAGGCCGGGAGCCACTAGGGGCTCCGCTGGCAGACCCTGCTTCTGACGTCGACGACACATCTACGGGAGAATCTTGCTCGAACTCTGCGAGAGGCGGGGACGGGGAGCCCGAGGCAGAAGCTGTTGCGTCCACAAACTTTTCTGAAAGAACAAATGATAAACATTAATTCTCTTCCTACATATGATATCGCCAAACATGTGAGGTCGATAATGTGGTGCGATTTATAAAAAATCTCAACATTAATATTGTGCTTCCAGTTCACAGAAAACCAGAAAAATATTTGTGTCATTAAAATGTATATTTAGTTAAGTAGCTACTAAAACATTTTCCGCTTTGTTGTAGAAAAAACCTGTCATCATAATGAAGTCATTATAAAGCTACAATGTTAAGAACAAAACAATTTGGAACATATCTAATTTCTTTATCACATAGTTTTGCACGAATATTTTATAAATATAAGTATAAATAGGTGTGTGTATCTGTCCGTCCACAATCTCGCACTCTATTAAATGACAGATTGACAACCGACAAACTGTCTTTATTTATTTTTGGGAGTTATAAAAAGGTGCGACGTCTCTGGATTTACTTTTCAACATGTTTTTGTTTTGTGGAGGCCCTTTTGTATAATTTTACGCGTCTAAATGAGTTGCGAGGATTCGTGAGGAATGAGAACTTTTTTCTGAGGGAAAGCCTTGACTTTTGGTTAGGAATTTAGACAGGAAACAAGAGTTAATTTATTAGAAGCTTTTTTTATTTACGACCAATAAACGAAGAAGTGGTCCTTACCTATACATGGTGTTAAACTTATACGATGGTTATAAAATAATTTAAATTAATATTCGTTTATTTTCATAACATCATATAACATCATATAACCTTTTATTCCCGAAGAGGTAGGCAGAGGTGCACATTACGGCTCTTAACGCCACTATACAATGTAACACCCATTTTTCACTATTTAAGTTATGAGTCCCATGTAATAGAGGGTGAGCCTATTGCCATGTACCGGGCACATTTTCAGACTCCGTACTATTACTGAGATTTTTTAAAACCCAGTAATACTTTGCCCGACCTGGGAATCGAACCCGAGACCCCTTGCCCAGGAGTCACACGTGCGACTACTCGGCCAACGAGGCTTTTGAATACTCCTACAACAAAATACAAAACCATTTCCTACTATTAATAAAGATGTTGGTTACTTTAACCAGACCATATGAATAGGCCTATTGTTAAGATAACTCTTATCATCGCTTCAGGTTGTAAATTTTCCTACGGTTAGTGGAACGATTAGCTAGTGACAAAGAGCGACCCTGAGGTAATCTCATAACCACCATGTTGGATATGGTGATTGTTATTAAGTACTATGCCTATATATTAAAGCAAGTCAAGCTATACTAGGCCTTAATGCATTTTAACCTTTATTTGTTTTGAGCTAATGTTGAAAATGTGTTGTCAGGATTGATGTAAGTTTATGTGCTGGTTCTGTATTATAGCGCTAGGCTTGAAGCAATTGCAGTGTAATATGAGTAATTAAAACATCGTTACTAGAATTGCATATTTTTCTGTTGCTTTTTTTTTACAGATTATTGTAGGTTAAAGTTATCATCTAGTAGTTATTTTAAAGTGCTATTTCATTCGTTTTATTGTTCCTTGTTTTGTTTTTAATAACCGCGGACGATTGGCTCATTTTTAGTGTACAGTCACGACTTCACGAGCCACCTGTGTATATTTAAAATGTGCTTTTAAACTTTTTTCTACATTTCACAATACAAAATTTTAAACTTTTCTTTGCCTATATTTAACTAATCAATTCTTTAAATATACTTAATCAATATTCATAATTATATGGATTTCACAAAAATAAATTGAATTGAAATACAAACTATTAGGGAAACTAAAATAGAACTCATCATGCTACGCCGTAGTAACTTGCTACGAAAACAATAGAAATGAGGTATTGTCCCAAAAAATAATATTTAACTGCCAGTGACTTTGCCCACGTAATTAACAGTGTATTAGTAATGAAAGATAGCAATTAAATATACATAAGGTAGCCTTGATATTATTCCTGAGAGTAATCTATCTCTGCGCCAAATTTCATGCAGATCTCTTCAGTAGTTTTTGTGTCAAGAAATATTAAATGAACGTACTTTCTGAATTATGTATGTATGTACTCGTCCTTGCAAACTTTTATATTAAATTTAGTATATAACTACTTAGTATTGTATATATGTAGTAACTAATTGTAAGTAGGAAACTTTGAAATAAGTTGTATGTTCCTGTATATAAATTTTATTTTTGATAATTATTTCAATAAAATTAGATCAAATAATTAGCGCAAATCTAAGTCGTGTCTTCATTTTCTGGTGAATTTCATGAAGTAGGTACTTGTTCTGTCCATGATAATGCTTATAGAGTAGATTTAAATGATTAAATACATAATTTATTCAACATATTATCATCGTACCTTTAAATTTAAATAGTATTTCAGTTGTTTTCGTGATGATAAAAAGGAGCAAGTCATAGGTAGTAAGTAAGTCATCATAGTCATTAGGTACAATAATCATTTATTTAATTAGTTCATTTGACTACATGGCTATAAGTTACATACAATAACTACAATAGGCAGTACTCTATTTTAATTTTTAAATCTTCCTTTTTTATTTAATAGGTTTTATTACTGAAAATGTTTAATTAGATGCAATTTATTTGTTTATCGTAAATTTTGTACGTCAATACCTTATTTCTGAACTTTTTGCTAAATAATTTCAATTAAAATGATGTTAGGACGCCATAAGCACCACAAAAGTATACATACAACAATAACTTATAATATGTTTTTCAACAATTTTATAATCGAACCCTTATTGATATTAATATCAATAAAAATGCTTTAGGCACCTGACAAATAATCATCAAAATATATGACGGGGCTTGATACCAAATATTTCTCAGTAAAGATATAAAACTTAGTTTCCATTTTTAATTTTATGACACTATCAAAGTTAGTGTAAGTAAAAGGCAGTATCATAAATTACCTTTGCTTCCTTTTAAAAAGATTGAGTATTTTATTGGCGGCCATTGTTGTAAATGCGTGTTTGTCCATAGAGTATTAAAGGAAACTGAGCCATAAGTTTATTTATTCATTTATTTATTTATTTATCAAAACCTTTCATGTTTTTAGTATTGTTATAAATTTCATACGAAACAAAATTAACCAGTTTATACCTATTTGCATTATTTGTAAGTAATGAAAACATTTTTAGTTGCTCCTAAATCAGAACTTAATTCCCCAAAGGGATTAACTTAACAGTACCTATAAGTGTTTTTACTGTATCAGGTCTCTCATTTACCTGTTTTATAAATAATAGATACTAATTTAAAATGTAAAGATATTTCTACTTTCAAATGTAGGTATTAAAGTGCTTTCTAACACACCGTTTAGGTAGCTTTTTAATGAAGGTCAGTAGGTCTTAATTATTATAAAATTTTAGAAAATATATTAGTTTAAGTATATTTGTATATGTATGTGCCCACATACTATGTTTAGGTATTATAAAGCCTTTTCCGATTGTTCTTTTTATTAACATTTTATGAATAATTCAAGTAAAGATTTGTAACATTTTGCTGACAGTTTATAAATATTGCGATAAGAACCAGCAATAAATCATTACAATCGATATATTTATATTTTACAGAAAACCTTTAATAACAACCGCGACAAATCGTTTACTGAAAAGCGTTTTTAATACGACCATATCTTTAAAAAAATATTAATACAAATTTGAATAATGTAGGTCTAAGATAATTTTGATATGTTCAATGTTCCATCATTTTTCTTTTCGTATTCATAAATAAATGTAGGTAATGTACCTGAGTATCTACATATAAATTTGAAAATATTTCGTAACCCCTACATTTATGAACATTCTACAGGAAACAAATTAAAAAAGTATATGAAGAAAACATAAAAGTTTACAATACAATACAATCTATATTAAGAAGTAATAAATAATCATTTTACTATTTTAATAAAAGTGAATTATTATTTCTCTAAAATCTATTAACAAAATTATATCGTTACATATAAAAATAATTAGTAACAATTAATTAATTTACCTTTAATTTCGTTTTACAAAATAAATTCATGAATAACAACATTATTCAACATTGTACTGTTGATTTATTTCCATTGAGTTCGTTTCTTGGCCTTAACCTTGTTCAGAGGAGCTTGTCAAACAATGTTTACAACCGCTAGTTCCACATAATAAAGTTTTTATTGAACTTTTGCTTCAGAAACTGACTTGTTCTTATTGGAACATGAGTTTCTATAACTTTCAACTGCTGTTTAATGACTTTGTAAACTTTGTTGTTTTTAATTAAGAATTTGTTATGTTGTAGCATAATCTATTATTATTCAATTATTATTAATGTGGCTACGAAAGTTTCAACGGCTTTTAATGATGGTTCGTTTCATTAGTTTTTATAATCAGTTGAAAAACTAAATTGCTTAAGAGACCAAGATCTTAAAAAGACAAGTTAATAACTTACCTAAAGGCATAAGTGTGTCTTCTCTGGGGTCTCTATGTCTTCGCCTCTCTCTCCTCTCCTGGCGGTCCCTGGCCATGATGGCAGCGATGGAGAAGTCAGTGGCGCAGGGGCGCGCGGAGCAGTCCTCCTCCATTGCGGGCCCCTGCCGCTCGCGGCCCTCTCCCTGCAGCAGCATCAAGTTGACCGCCTGCGAGCCCAGCCTGCCTACAGCTGACCACTCGACGTCACCGTCCGAACATCCCATCGATGTTCCAGTACATAATCTTTGCAACTTTCAATTAAAAATTTTGTCGCAGTTGCCACTTCCAACGCTGATTCTACTAATATTGTCCAAATTAATTTCAAAATAAATAAATCTATCGTCAAAGAATATTTGAAGTTTGGACAAAACTTGAAATGTCAAATAAAAAATAAATTTTACAGGAATGCAGGCAAAAATCACAGAATTTTCGAATAAAATCAAAAACACAAACTTGTCAGCTAGTCTATTACAGAACAACGCAAGAATGAATGATCGCTACTAAGTTCGATATCGTAATCGCGGTGTGCAAGTTTCGTAGAGTGTGTTGAAACTTTTTACGCGCGCTCTGGACGCGGGTAGAGCGGACCGGTGCGGCTCGGCGCGTTGTCGACTCGACTGAGGCGGCGGCAGGCGGCAGGCGGCGCGCCACAGGGAGGGGCCTGCATCGCCGCCCTATGCCACCACACTCCGACCACGCACACACAACCGCTTTTTTATTATTTCTTTCTTATTAAGTCCGTCCCGCTCGCGCTGGCCTCGTAGCTCGCGCCCGTCCCTCTCGCCGAGCGAGTTTTTCTCCGCGTGATAACTATTGAAATTCGCTAAACGGCTCACCACGGCGCGGAAAAGGCTCTCGCGTTAAACGGTGAGCCGATTGTATCGAGGTATTTATTCGAATTACTCGGTGCGCCGACGCTTCCCATCACTATTTATGCACTGCGAGAGCTTGCCGCCATCGACGGGCTGTGCTCATACGTCGATTACCGCGTTACAATATTCACGGCTATATCGTGTATACATAAGCCCTTACTTAACTACATGATGCAAATAGCTTCGAGCTGATGGTTTGCTGCTTGCACATTCACATAAAATTCAATGACTGTGAGAGGAATATTAAGTGTGTTATTCAGAAATTGCACATTCAACATAACAACTCGCGTGCGCCTGAGTTTTAAAGAAATAATTTGAGTCAAAGTTTTCGTCTCACATAATTACAAAATTTAATTAAATAGCTAACAAGAAGTATTAAAAGAACCCTACCTATACGGTTTCCACAATCTAAAACCTAGAGGAAAACAACTAAACGGAAAATAGGGGCAAATTGAAAACATCCGATTGAACATTTAATTTGAATCAGGTTTGGATTTTCATTTGGTTTAATCTCTTAGTAAAAAATATCCGAAACCAGTGGCCATGACTAGATTTACACTGATTAGAATCACTTGACTTCGCGATCGTATCAGACTAAATTAGAACAGAATCTGTGAAATTCGAATCTACGGCAATACCCATCCGAGCTTTGCAGCCCTCTAATTCTATTGGTAAAGGCAATGTTGTTGTAACCTTACCTCTCTGAAAATGAACAGTAACCGCTCAATTAGAGCGACTTTATAAACTTCATTATGTGTGCAGAGCGGAGGCAGAATAAACAGTGGTACCTAATGCGTAATCAACGCCAGCGGCACGGCGAACTCGCGAGATTGCGACCACCTTTATAGCGTTAGATCAAATTTGCGGAAAATTAAACTCACAGACTTTCTCATAGTTTTGTATTTATAATAATTTATTACGTGCGAGGAGCTCAAACTAACCATGTCGTTAGGCAATAAAGCTTATCGGAGTCGAGCCGGTAATAGCGGCACAAATGGCCGTCGATACGCGAATTGTGACGAATCGCATTAATTATTTTGTTGATTTCCATGTAAGGCAACGATAATAACTGTTATTATTCGTTAATTTTGAATAGCCTTCAGTGTTTTGAATAAAATTGATTACTTACACGTTTTAAAATAATGATGGACGCAACCATGACTTCTCTCTTAATAACTTTAATCGTTTGCCGGTACTTATTATGCAAGGATGTCGTTCAGGAGAAATATTTGCTAATATAGGGCTTTGAATAAAATAATATATTACACTAATTAATTAAACTCGTTTTAATTAAAATCGTAGATGGTATCTTTAAGTGATTTTAACTTTGATATACTAAGACTTCATCTAATTAGCAAATTTTAACTGATCGCCTGTTACTTCGCGATTACATACGTCCTCACATTCATATTTATGAAAAGGTATATGTGAATTATCGAACAAACATTGTTTGCGCTATCTTCAAAAGCAGTTATTAAAATTTAGATAAATAAAATAAGTTGGTAATAAGAGACTTACAAAAAAAATAATTGAATCTATAGGTATTTTTCATAGCATTTACTTTAAAAATAACAACTTTTATTGAGATTACAAGTGTACAAGTAGGTATCGTTCTAGCATTCTGGCGATAAGATTTGTTAAAGTCAGATTTCTCAATTAGGTATGTATGTAAAAATATGTAAGTTATACTTATAACTGAAATCATGAAATGTCACAGGAAGCATTTTTAAAACTCAAAAATCTCAAACGGATTTATTTCAATTAAACCATAATTTGGTACTTTTGAAACGTAAACGAATATAAAATAAATAGTGGGCTGTCAGTCTGACCATCAGTGAAGCTAGGACGTTCCAAAATGTAGATTCGAGCGAAGAAGAATAAGAATCAAACTCCATTCATTACTTTTTTTAAAAAATGCATTAGCAGGAAACCTATTGTATTTTTTTTATAACTATTGGGTGTGATAAATCTAAAACGTTTTACTGTTATCTCTCACCCAATCCAGTGGTGAAAATGATGGCTAAACTTAGGTCTATGGTTCAGCAATGAAATGCTGTCACAGGCTACCTATTATTGACGATGATGATAACGATGGGTCCGATCAAAATTGATGAACAAAAATGTTTTTTGAAAGTTTGCATAAAGTACCTATACATACACGATCGTCCTTTCAAAAACAAAATATGGAACCAATTACCTAAGTAATTAAACAGAAAATTTTGATGTCCGTAGTTTCAATAATTTTAAAAGTTTCATATTTATTTCGTGTATTAAAAAAAATATTATACATTCCTGTGAGTTTTTATTGAGAAAATAAAATTAATCTTACAGATTCAAAATTTGATAATACTGCTCTGTTAATAATTTCCTAAACATTATTATTTTACCTTTAATAAAAACTTTATAATCTTTTAACCCAGTTACATTTTTAAGATTTATGTTTTTGAATTACTTAGGTAGATAAATTTTCATAGACTTGACTTTGATGTTATAAAATAACTTCAAATAGGTATTGCGTGTGTGCTCAAATTTGGATAGAAATTTAGTACATAAACATAGAAGATACTTACCTGTCTACTTAGTATTTTTTATTTCTCTAAAATAAAAGAAATAAATTCTTTACATTCATTACGAAAAAAAAAACATCAGTGTCTAAGTAGCCAATAAAACTAATAAAAATCCCATCGCCTCATCAAAACAAAATCAAATGAATCATAGACATAAAAAAAATCAATTACCCTTCACCTACCCTTTGCATCACCCTATAAACAAAATGACAATGCAAACAAATTTTCAATTGTAAATGAGCATGATGTCCATTTCACGTTTTGTCCATCGACGTGAAATCGTCCATTTCACTTTTTGTCGAAATCAACGGGCAAGTTGTGATTAAAATTTAAAAGTAGCAACTCGTGTGAACGCACTCGCGACCACGACTAAAGAGGGGGAATAGACGCCCCTTGGAGGCGGGCCGGCCACTCACCGAACAAAACTAAACTTTAACACAAAGCCGTAGAGTTTATTTCTCTTGTTCAAGTTTTGTGTGCATCCTGTGCAAGTCGGCGTGGGAGAGGTTCTTCGGTGAGTATCGTCCGTACGCGACATACTTCGTTTTTTCTAAAGAAAGCCTTTTGTAGTTTTAGATGAGATGCAAGAAATACTAGATTTTCTTTAAAATTGATAATCTACTATTTTTATATGCAAATGATATACTTATACTTATTATCCGTAACAAATTGAGTCGAAAATAATATAATTATTAGTGTTTTGTCATTTATTTATGTACATCTATTTAGACATTTTAACTATTATGCAACAAAACAAAAAGATACCAATAAATCAACTTTAAACAATACTTTTTCGAAGTCTGTAAGTATTCACGCATATATTTTTTTTACTATTCTTGAAATGTTCAATTCAGTCTAACTACTTAAGATAGATAAGTTGTAATCTACATATTATTTGATCAAGATGCAAGAATTAAGGCAAGATTTCTTAAACGAGTTTAATTACACTAATACTTAAATGTAAAAATTTATTTGTTTGGATGTTTCGATGTTAGTCCGTTAATTATGAAGCACTGAACGCATTTTGATGAAATTTGGTAGGTATACTAGTAGGGTATGAGCTGACTTAAGAGATAGAATACTTTTTATCCCAATTGAGTATTCGATACTTTTTTCGAGCTGTCAAAAACGACATTTTTTCTATGAATTTTGTACGGGATAGTGTATTGTGACGTCACGATTTTTTAGCGTCAAACAGAATACTTATTTCTTGAAAATTTGCTGGAAAAATATTAAAATTAAGTTGGTCATAAAATCAATAAATGAACATGTAGTTATTTTACAATTCTTTATTGTATTGAACAGTCGAAATAATTTATTAGTGATTAAGGAAAGTACCCTATTAAATGGTCTTATGGGTTAAACAGGAATAGCTTAATAAATCACTTCAAAAAAGTATCTAGAACTTCGTTAAATAATCTTGTATTTATTTATTTAAGAGTTAGTGGTTATGCACACATGTTATGGTGGTTATATACACAGCCTTATCATTTAAACTTATTCAAGAAAATAAAACCCATAAAGGTCTTCAGTTAATTTTTCCCTTGAATTTGTTTAGCATAACTCCTCATTGTAAGCTCTGTGTGTAATTCATGGTTTAAAGTTGTTACTCATGATTTTGAGTAATCCATGGTCTACTATTCGACCATTAAAACAGTTTCGTCAGCCGAGTAGCTACTAGAGTAGTATGAACAATTTGTAATTTAAACTTAACAAAAATATATGCCCCAAAGAAGAAAACAAATAAACATGCCAAAATGAACTCTAGAGTCTCCCAAAGTATATCAATATTTATCCCTAATACTTATAATAGAACAAAGGATATTATCCCATAACAATACATAACATATTGGCATAACTTTCGTTATAAGCAGTGTGCACACTGCAACACGGACGTATTGGTCGTCCACCCAATATATATACGCTGCTTGCTCTCTGAAACGATAAAATTTTAGCACCGCAACCGTTATTGAAACATTTAAATCATAGACTACAATATGAGTAGCATAAGAAACAACACCCTGTATTATACAGGGTGTGTGTATTATGTGTGTGTACGATATCTTTTATCATATTTCGTTTTGTTTCATAAACTTAGGTTAAAGGTTACTGGTATTTTTTTGTATTTTTCTAGGCTAGAATGATAACATAACATCATCACGCCTTTTATCCCTGAAGGAGTAGGCAGAGGAGCATATTACGGCACTTAATGCCA